CCAAACATTACGTATTTCCAAGTAGCATTGTTTCTTTTAATTTTGTGCTTCCAAGCAGTCTCTTGGAATGAATTCTTTGTGTTAACTGGCAAGAATAAATGTAGCTCTTCAACTGTTTTCTTTTATTTCCATGCATAAGCACCCTGAACTTTTTTCTCTCTTGTCCAGGAAGTACCCAAATAACGCATAATGATATGGGGGTTGATTCTTTAATATTATACATCATAACATAATAATATTTTTTACTTCTTGCCCACCTCTCCTCATGATTCGAGACAGGTTACTTACAACATTGCTAAAACACACATTCATCTGAAAACGTTATTTAAAATACACATATTAAAACACATTTCCACAAAATACATATTAAAATACACAAAATAAAGATTAAACATAAGATACAAGTTTGAAATTCATAATTAAAACTGTCTGGGTAACATTAAAATATAACATGTTTTATTTATTAGTTAAAATTTAAATAAATATTATCTTTTCATTGTAAGTCCCTTGATATGGCATATAGATCTGAAAACAGTATAAACTAAGGATGGAGAAAGTGTGATTTCTGAACCTCTTAGCGCAGTGGTTCTCACCCCGTGAGTTCCTAGATGTTTTAGCCTTCAACTCCCAGAAATCCTGAAAGCTGTTAAACTGGCTAGAATTTCTGAGAGTTGTAGGCCAAAATACCTATTTATGTATTTATTTATTTATTTACAGTATTTATATTCCGCCCTTCTCACCCCGCAGGGGACTCAGGGCAGATTACAATGAACACATATATGGCAAACATTCAATGCCAATTTTGACATACAACGTATACAGACATACACAGAGGCTATTTAACTTTTTCTGGCCGCCAGGGGTGCTGTCGCTTTCATTGTCCATCTGCAACAGTGATGAAATACTTCCGCATTCCCTGCATGCTTTTGCTGGAGTGCTTTGGTGGAGTCTTTTTTATGGCCTCATAAATTGGTTGATTAACACAAGGTGGTACCTAATTTTCCTACTTGACAGATGCAACTGTCTTTTGGGTTGCAAAGGTCGACAACAGGCTACACAATTGGTTGGAAGCCCATTCCAACCCGGGCTGACTTCGAACTCATGACTTTTTGGTCAGAGTGATCTTAATGCAGCTGACACTCAGCCAACTGTGCCACAATCTCAGCCAGCTGCGACTAACCTAGGGACTCACAGGTTAAGAACCACTGCTAGCAGGACCTTTTTTAAAACGTGATACTTTTTAAAACCAAGAACAGCTCAAAAACACTGCAAAATGCAGCAGTTTTGCCCCCAGTGCCCCCACATCAATTTTTAAAAATCCATAACCAGTCATCAAGTTGACCAGAAATGAAACATGAAATGATTCACTTCTAGTTCTTCCCACTAAATGAGTGCTGTCCATGGCGGTACCTCCTCTGCATTTGTCTACCCTGATTTAAATAATAACAAGGGTTTAAAAATAGAACAATAAAATCTCCAAATTTTGTTTATTCTTCAGAAAAGTTGAATAATTGTTTGGTATTTTAACCGAGAATGTTTGATTGCTAGTATCTTAAGAAAAATACAGCATTTGGATGGAAGGCATATAGTGTATTATCTCTGTTTATTTGGTACAGGCCGGAGAGATTGTGGCTCTTTTCAAGATCTTGGAAAGAATTGCTCTCTGTATCACTCCCTGCTGTACAGTCCTGGCTTTAGAACCCAAGATTTTCTTAAACTGTCACTTCATATCCTCAGATTATATGTTGAAACTGAGAGATTTCTTTCTCCAATCCAGTCATCTGAAATTCTTGTATTGCTTGTCTTGCCAAGGTAATGTTCTGGTGTTTAAATGATTGAATTTTCTCTGTACAGCCTTCACAGTTCCATAACACTGTGTCACTTGATACTGTAAAAGAAGCACTGAACCGAGTTTCTTCTAAGGAATAACTTTTGCCAGATATTTATCTTAACTGAATTGCACAACTGTGGAGGAGGACAAATTTTGCCCCTCTGATAGACCACAAGGTTACATTTCAGTATGTCAGAAGTGACATATTTTCATTTCTGACATTGTTTTGGCCTATTTCAGAGTGATTTAGGAGAAACGAGAGTGTGGTAAAAGTAAATTGCCCTTTTGTGGCCTGTTTGGGGTGTTTTGGCTGGTTTTTGAGTTTTATATATACTTTATTTATACTTTTTATATACTTTAGTCATATTCCATTCTATCTCCCCGAGGGGACTCAGAATGGATTATGGGTACATATACAGCAAACATTTAATAACGTTATACAACTGAAAGAGACAGACAGTACATAAACAGAGGCAAGGCTTCCCTCTTTTCATCTCCAGCTTACAGCTGTGTTCTACTTGGCCATGCGGATGTGCTTTTGTTTCATTTTCTATGCCTAGGATCCTGTCATCCATATATGCCTTTCCTGATCGGATTTTTGCTGGCATGTTTTTCAGGGCTCCTTTTACTTCCCCGCCAACATGGTACCTATTTATCTACTTAAATTGTTGTTTTCAAACTGTTAGGTGAGCAGAAGCTGGGCTGACGGTGGGAGCTCACCCCAATCCGAGCTTGAGCAGCCCATGGGTCACACTTTGCCCATCCCTGCTGTAAAGGATGGTTTTCAGAAACAATGTTTTGTTGATGGAGTGCGATATATATGTATGTATGTATGTATGTATGTATGTAGATAGATAGATAGATAGATAGACAGACAGACAGACAGACAGACACACATATATACATACACACACATACATTTATATTCCGCCCTTCTCACCCCGAAGGGGACTCGGGGCGGAGCACAGCATATACACAGCAAACATTCAATGCCGGGAGACAAATTCACATGCAATACATAAACATTGAAAAACATTTATCAAAATATTAAAATACACCATTTAAAACCATCCTAGTCATGTATAAGTCATTTTCATGTATAAGTCAAGGGCAGATTTTGGGACCAATGTTATGAATTCTTATATGTCCCATTGATAAATTGAGGGTAATTCCATGGAGGGGAAAAAACACTTATTCCACCTCAAGGGGCCAGCCACCACTGTAGTGATTTTCTGCCCAGGCATTCAGAAAGACCAGAAATAGTAACATGGGATGTGAGTGCTCACTCGCACACGTATGTAATGGTGGTGGTGGTGGTGGTGGTGGTGGGGAGCTGAAAAAATGACCTTGGTGGGCTGGATTTGGTCTGTGGGCTGTAATTTTGGGACCCCTGCTCTAAGCTTATATATATAGGGTAGTTCTAGGAGTGATTTATGGAGTTCTCCTGCTTCATAAAATAAATAGTGCAGTCTTAGAAATGCTGGAGGTGAGTCACAACTTGCATAAAAGTGCTTAAGGCGTTGAAAACCTAATGTATGTGTCTTATATTGGAAGGCTATTTTTTTGCTTGAGACACTTGCAACCCAATATTCTTCATGAATAAAGAATGCACTAAATATTTGCACATTCATTGAGACTTCATGGATTTCAATCTGTCTTTCTCCACCTCCTAGACTAATGTACAATATGAAGGCCAATGCCGTTTTTTTCTTTTCATGTTCGTAGAGGTAATTTTTCATTTCTGAGGTACCTGCACTTCTTCACTGATAATCAGGCTGAACTCAAGAAATGGAACCATATGTAAATATTAAAACTAAGAAAAAATGCTTGCCTCTTGTAATTCAATTTATCTGTACCCTTTTTGAAAGTCAGGGTAAATGTATTGCCTTACCACACTTTTATTTTTCACATCCAAATTAAATCAGAACTACAGAGAAAAAGAATCTATAGCTTGTTTTTAAGGATAAGTGCTTTAACAGCCTGAAGCAGAATAACAAAAAGTACTTTTATCAGCCCTGCATACACAATCATGCAAAAGCATTTCCTTTTTATTATATTTTATTTTAAGTTTCCACAGAAGAACACCAATACAGAGCTGCACAATATATTGTTAAAAATCTAAATTTTATTATTTTTATTATTACTGTTTTGCATAATTCTAGCTTTACGGTTTTGAATCTATCTTCTTTCTTAAATATTTTGTAAGAAGTGATTGAATGTTGTCAATCTCTGAAAAGTTTATAATATAATATTCAAGGGGTAGCATCAACTCTTCAGCCATTTGAAGAAGGTTGGAAAGGCAGCATCATTTATTTTTCTGTCTAAAAATGTTTCCTTGTAGGAAAATGTATAGAAGGCATATGCACATAGTATCAGCACATGCATTGTTTTCTCCATATAATATGTGACGCATACATACTCAGTGTCTGTAACTTAAAGATTTTTTAAAAATATCTGTATGCATCACTAATGAATCTTTATGTAGAGGTCACATTTTAGGGACATTCTGATTTCTGTATATAGAAGATCGCTACATCTAATGCAGCCCATTAGAAAAATATGATGGGTGGAAGGAATCAATGTAGTTTTTATTGTTTAGGAGTCTGCTTAGACAAAATAAGTAAGACTTAATTTTATTTTAATTAAGAAAAGGAAAGTATAATCCCCGTGTGTGTTCACAATAACTTAACCTAGAAGGAATGTGTCATACTATCTGGAGAACCTGCTTGAGAAAGGTCTCTCTGCAACTTTTGTTTTGAAATCTGCCAGGATTGTATGTGTGCATGGCAAGAATTAAGAATTTAATCCTAATTTTAATTAATCTAATATTTAACAGAGCACATGAATTGGTAATTTGATTATGTGGAAGGAAAAACTCAAAAGATTGTGAAAAACTTATATGCCATTGGTAGCAATATTTCTACTGTGAATACTGTGGCATTTATGAAATGTTTACTATTCATTGAATTTGGTACTTCTTTGTCTTGGATTGTACAGTTTACGTTTTGTGGCTTTTGCCATATAGCTATAAATTAAATTTATAGTTGAGTCTCTATCAATGTTTAAATGATATTAATTAGTTAATATAATGTGTAATAAATGTGTGTTGTGCTCACAGTCATCAATAAATGTGTATCTCTTGTATAGCTCATCATTTTCTGTTTTGCAGGAAAGAATTAATATTATCTGGCACTTTAAACCCAGTTAAAGATTTACATCTTGGGAAACTGGCACTAACTAAGTTTCCAAAAAGTCCAGAAACATGGATTCACAGGTTTGTCTCCCTCTATATTTATTATGTATAAATATTTGAAGACATATCTATCTTAGTTGGGATCAACATGCAAAGGGATCTTGTAGCACCCTTGAGAATAACTGGGAACAAAAAATTGTTAGCGTAACCTTTTGTAGTGTTTCATCATATGCATGTAGTGAAGTGCCTAGGGACAGACATTTATATTTAGGAATAAGCAGATTTTGTATGTGAATAACAACAGGAATGCCTGGGAAGAAAGATAATTCCTAAATCCAAGGTGATTAAATAGCTATATGAATGATGGAGTTATTGGACTGGCAACCAGAACGGAGATGTAGTAAATGGCCAAGAGAGCCTTGATGAGACTGAGATGCTAAATAGTGTTATAATATGAGTCATGTGCCTAGAAATCATTCTCTCTGTTTAATGCCCTGTCAATGGACTGGAATGTGTAGGTATATTCCAGTTCTGCTGTTTCCCATTCCAATCCTCCTTTATAGTTTTTTTTTGTTCCAGAACTACCGTTCTAAGATCTGAGATGGCATGTCAAAAAAGATTCAATTGTTCTGCAGCTGTTTTTATGTATTTCTATTCCTAATGCCTGAATTATGTTTGTCTATTATCTTATTTTTCTCAGTCTCAAAGGTGCTACAAAATCCATTAGTATTCATATACATATGAATACACATGTACATACACACATACATATAAAGATAGTCCCTAAGTTACAAACATCTGTCTTACATTCTACTCCTCATTACAACAGGAAGTGAGAGAAAATCTACTCACTTCTGTAAGGGTTATCATGGAGAAAAGGTCCCTCTACCACCAATCCTTGTTTCCACAGCAAGCCAACATTTTCAAAATCCAGTTATCACAGAGATTGAAAGTGGGGTGAAATCTGCCAGCCAAGGGAAACCTTGTAGCAGCACAGCAACCCGCACACCTGCTGGGAAGTTATCTTGCTGACAGCAACTGAGGAAGGCCTCATAGCTCTCACCAGCAGACTTGCAGGTGGATGAAGGCTCACCCACCCATGTAGCTTTTCCCTCAGAGAAGAACTGCTTCCTCCCCCCCCCTCCCCCCCATTGCCTCTTCCCTCCCAGTTCCAGAGGGCTGCTGTGGCTCAGTCAATCCTCCATAGCTTGGAGGGAAGTCTCCTTGCATAATAGTCACATTGGTGAACTAAGGATGTGACTATTATGTGAATAATTTGAAAGTATCAAACTCAGGACACAAAGCGCGGGGGGGGGGGCATGACTTATTATGCAGTAGACACTTATGCAGTATGGTGCAGGTATGTATGTATAAGTTGTATATCTTGACAGATATTTGTTTTTCCATTCTGAGATTTGGGTGACAGATCCTACTTGTTGTCAAATGGGATTGCTACCTGGCTACATCCTGTTCTTGTAGAAACTACTGCCCAGGATGTTGTATTGAAAATAAGTGTTCTATAATGCATATATCTTTATGCTGATAGCAAGTACCTCAATAAGAAATGTTGAGATGATAATGGAGACTAATTGAAACCATAAACTGCATGTTGAAGTAATAAAAGGCAAAATTGAGGACAGAAATTTGTTAGAAAAGTTGCTGAAGCTAGAATATAACGTTTCATAATATTGTTATAAACATTTGTGGTGTGACCACACTTAGCCTTTATGTATATTTTTGGCCATTTCAGAAAGAACTGCCTAAAGCAAGGATGGGGGAATATGTAGCTATAAAGATATTTTTAGACTATGCTGCTTAGACTAGAGCAGTGGTTCCCAACCTTTTTTCACCAGGGACCACTTTGATCAGGGACCACTCTCCAACATTAGTACCAAAAGAGTTACAAATCAGCTTTTGGTCAACTTTAGATTTGGTTTGGTTATTTGGGATGCTAATTCAGAAATTTGTATTGGCTAGACCACATCAGCTCTAGTTTCTGATACAGAATATATGACATCCAGTGGTTGTCATCTGCTCACCAATAGAAAAATATATTTAATAATCTAGAGCTGATGTGGTCTATCCAAGGGGGGAGGCTGGTCAGCGACAGGGAAGGAGTGGCAGGCGCACAAAGGAAAAGGAAATAAAAATAAACAAAGAGGGCAGATACTTGCAGACCAGATTTTCATCCTTGCAGCCCACTGGTGGTCCGCAGCCCACAGGTTAAGAACCACTGGACTAGAGTCATAGTCCCACAATGTATTTGTGGCCATGCGTGATCCTTTGGAGCCATGCATGAATTAGCATCAGCATTGAAAAGCTATAGAGAAAGTTAAGTATGCAGAAAAGCTTATCTCACTTCTGCATTATTTACAATTTAAAATATTAATTAAAAATATCTGGAGTGTGTGGAACGTCATTGGAGTAATTTGGACAATCCGAACCCAGTTTAATAAATAGCGTGCATGAACCTTGTATATCCATATGCGCCTCCTTTGCCCAGACTACTTACTTGTCAATGACATTTTTTCTAGGTTGATTGGCACTATATTCACATAATATTTGAGACTTCAAAGTCTCTTCCTTTCTACTATTAGCAGCATGGGATCATTCTGGGTTTTGCTTGCTTGCTTTAGTTTTGTTTTAAGAACAAGTCACTGAAGACAACTGTTCTTGCTACATTTAAGAAATGGCAAAATTAAGAAGTCACAATTTTCTTTTAAATGGCAGCCATAATAAGAAATAACTGTTTTAGGTTTAGATGTGAGGTGGACAACAAGTAATTATTTCAGGAAGGTCTGTGGTTACTGTTTCATGTGAGTAGCAAAACACACATGAAAGACAAAGCGGGAAGTTAACTATTACCTCAGGTTTTGGAAACCAACCTTAAGCTACAATTTGTGTTGCAAAAAGAAAAGTGAATTAGCAATCAAAGGGGTCTGTGTGGAGACACAAAGCTTGTGTGCGTCCTGACATATTAAGTCTAGCACATGTTCATGTGAATAGAGCCAGTGGTAATGAAAGTGGTCCAGGAGGTTAGGACCAATCCTTCAAAAAGAAACAATAGTTCAGAATGTATTTTACAAGCCTTTTCCTCAAACAACAGGAACTACTGTTTGAAATAACTTATTGAAGCAACTCAAAGAAACATTTCTCTGCCTAAAATATTTTAAACTATTGATGAGTTATTGCTGTAAGATTACTGTATTTCTTTTCTCCATTTTGAGAAATCCTTCTTGCTCTGAATGAAAAGCTAACATAGCAGAATAACAAGCAGAAAAAAGGAAATGTGTTCACTTTCTTAAATTGGCTTTTGCACTCTTAACTCTCTATGCTGCTTAACCAGACGATGGGTGCTGCAACAACTAATTCAGGAAAACTCCTTGCCCACTCTTGTGACTAAAGGGAATGTGGAAATAGCACCCACGGAAAGAGTACAGCGCTTAGTGAAAGAAGAAATGGATGTTTGCTGTGAAGCTGCTGGGAGATATCCAAGTAATTATAATGCCTGGTCTCATCGCATCTGGGTTTTACAGAACTTGGCAAAGCTCAGTACCAAGGTATGGTATAGTTGGGAACAGAAGGTCTGCAGTTTAACCTTGTACAAAACATTTTGGAATATTGGGAAATGTATTTATTTTACTAGTATTATAGTATAAATGAAAATGATAATACAATATAAAGATCTTTGCAATTGAATTTCACTTGTAGAGCTTTGAAGAAGATGAGAAAGAAATGAATGCAAACTATTATACGGATTCATAGAAAGCGTAGGACAGTCTGGCAATTGCAAAGAGCACTAAGCAACAATATCAGTTGATTTGGATGTATAAATAATAAGAATCATCATCATCATCTTTATTTGTATCCTGCCCTCTCATACATTTTCCCCTCATACATTTTCCCTTTTTCTTTTGTTTCCTCCTTCTTTCCCTCCTTTTTTCTTCCCCCTTCCTTCCTTTCCCCTTTTCTCTTTCTTCTTTCCCTCCCTTCCTCTCTTCTGTCACTTAGCCGCAGCCAATCTTCTTCACTCCCTTTTTTCCCAGTCATATGAGAGAGGGCCACTTCACCTAGCCACAGCCAATCTGCTTTGTTCCTTTTCTTTCCTTCAGTTCTGGACCTGACAGGGGACGGGTTTTTTTTTTTTAGTTCAAACTCCTTAATTATTTTAAGTTGGCTAATGAAGTGTATGTATGCCAAGTCTGGTCTAGATCCATCAAGCCATGAAGGTACCTTTTTGGTACAAACCAACCAGCATACATTCATACATATTTTGACTTAGAATCATGGAGTTGGAAGAGACCTCATAGGCTATCCAGTCCAATCCCCTGCCAAGAAGCAGGAAAATCACATTCAGAGCACCCTCGACAGATGGCCACCAGGCCTCTGTTTGAAAGCCTCCAATGAAGGAGTCTCCACCACACTCTGGGACAGAGAGTTCCCCTGCTGAACAGCTCTCAGAATTAGGAAGTTCTTTCTAATGTTCAGGTGGAATCTCCTTTTCTGTAGTTTGAAGCCATTCTTCCCCGTCTAGTCTCCAGACCAGCAGAAAACAAGCCTGCTCCCTCCTCCCTATGACTTCCCCTCACATACTTATACGTAGCCATCATGTCTCCTCTCAGCCTTCTCTTCTTCAAGCTAAACATGCCCATCTCTTTAAGCTGCTCCTCATAGGGCTTGTTCTCCAGACCCTTGATCATTTTAGTTGCTCTCCTCTGGACAAATTCCAGCTTGTCAACATCTCCCTTCAATTGTGGTGCCCAGAATTGGACACAGTATTTCAGGTGTGGTCTAATCAAGGCAGAATAGAGAGGTAGCATGACTTCCCTAGACCAGGCATCCTCAAATTGCGGCCCTCCAGCTGTTTGGGCCTTCAACTCCAAAAATTCCTGACAATTGAACAAGCTCGTTGAGGCTTCTGGGAGTTGGAGGCCCAAGCAGCTGGAGGGCTGCAGTTGGAGGATGCCTGATCTAGACACTATACTCCGATTTATGCAGGCCAAAATCCCATTGGCTTTTTAGCTGCTCCATCACATTTTTGGCTCATGTTTAACTTGTTGTTCACGAGGACTCCAAGATCTTTTTCATACGTACTCCTGTCAAGCCAGGTATTCCCCATTCTGTATCTTTGCATTTCATTTTTTCTGCCTAAGTGGAGTATCTTGAATAGCTTTATATCTATAGATTATTATATATAGATTATATATCATCATCATATTTGTATCCCACTTTGCTCTCTCAGAACTGAGACCAAAAACAGCTCACAACCATATAATTAAAAATCTACAAAATATAAATATTAAAATAGAATTAGATCTGCTACAAACCATAAAACTCTGTGGTTAGAATAAAAGAAACAATACAGTACAACAAATGATTAAATACTCTGATTCTTTGACTTTCTGCTGCCTATATTCTCAAAAAACGTACACAGTGTTAAAATGCAAATCATGTATTAGTATAGGTTCAAAGAGATCAAACAGTTTAGAAACACCATAGTGGTATTTATAAGTGCCTTTCAAATATCTAAGGACATTCTCAGCTCAGCTTATGCTGGTTTAATGAATTAGCACGACATCAAACAACCAGAACATGGCTAACTGGCTTTAAGACTGCCTTATCAACAGGAGCAGGAATGCCAGATTGAAAAGCAGCTGGGTCCACCCCCTTCAGGGCGGTCCTCGGGGGGTGTTCTCTAAAATGGATTATTCAAGCAATTTGAAGGCTGCTGTACCTGCCCCAATCTAAGCTGTAAAAGGACAATATTCACATGACTTTCACATTGCAATTTCTCATCTGTGAAAGCAGGTTTGGTGCCTTGGTTTTACGCAGCCCTGTTGACCTTCCCTGAAGCTGTGCTTGACTCTGCATTCTTTCATCTCCACAATTGTCTGCTGCCCGGCATGAGTTTTTCCAATGGAAGGGTGCTGAGTATGCAAACTGTGTCCAGTTCCTTGCAGAGAATTCATTTTAACAAGCAGCCTGCCTCCTTCTCCCTCCCCCTTACTGTCTCGTTACCTGAGAAACTTTAAGAACATTGAGGACATTTTAATAATATCCAGAAAGTATGTCACGGACCCAAGAAAAAGCCAGGCAGCACTAGCAGCCTCTGTCATTTGATTCCCCAATAAAAAGAGTGTGTAGGGAAAAATGTTGAGAGAGAGGGAGAGCACAAAGACTTTTCCATCCATCATTTAGCAAAGTATGTTTTCAGCTCGGCTTTGAAAAGGAAAACTTTTACTGAAATTGTTTTAAGGTTTAATCCAGGGTGACAACGTACACTAGAGTTTAAGTCATATTGCCTTTGCTTTACTTTGGGAGGTTCATATATAGTTTCTGACAAGACGGCTCACTACATAGTAGTCTAGAAATCCAGGTTATAAAAATAGTATGAGTGCCTGTCAGTTGCTATTCCTGACTTACAGCAGTTTCAGAATATCAGCAATTCTTTTTACGTGCATTTTTAAAAAATGTAGGTCCATATATTTAAGTCCACTTGATCTAATAAAGACTGAATAAATTATTTTGGGGGGCTACAGCTCTCATAATTTAAAAGTATAGTCATGGTCATGCTAGTTGGTGGGACTCTGAATGTTATATCTTGAAAATAAGCTTTCCAAACTTTTAATTGTGATACTCATTCACAACGTTTAGGTAAAGGTTACCCCTGACATTAAGTCTAGTTGTGTCCAACTCTGGAGGGTGGTGCTCATCTCCATTTCTAAGCCGAAGAGCTGGCATTGTCCATAGACACCTCCAAGGTCATGTGGCCAGCATGACTGCATGGTGCACTGTTACCTTCCCGCAGAAGCAGTACCTATTGATCTACTCACATTTGGATGTTTTCAAACTTCTAGGTTGGCAGAAGATGGGCCTGACAGTGGGAGCTCACACCGCTCCCTGAGTTCAAACTGCCAATCTTTCGGTCAGCAAGTTCAGCAGCTCAGTGGTTTAACCCACTATGCCACCATGGGGCCCATCCTAATGTTTAGCAGGCCAAATCTTTTGGTCAGCAAGTTCAGCAGCTCAGTGGTTTAACCCACTATGCCACCATGGGGCCCATCCTAATGTTTAGCAGGCCAAATTTTATTGGGGTGACTTTCTCAACTTTACACGTTATCCTACAGATGTCATGGAGTGCATTTCCCATCTTCCCCGTCAGCAGCTTGGCCATGACACATCTGGAGGGGAACAGGAAAATTGTGTACATATACTGGGGATCTCAGTCTTCCCCATTTCCATTTCTGTAAACTTGCAAAGGATCACCGATGACTATTCATGGAATCAAAGATTTCACTCTTAAGTGTTTGAGATTTCCTTTTGACCCAACCAACAAAGAATGTGAACATAAAAGGAAGAGAAAATGTTCTATCATTATATGTGTTTCAGACTCTCCAGGATACAAGGATTCAGAAAAAGCAGTCAACCTTCATCTCTTAGTGAAAATTTATATAATTTCAGAGGACACGGTTTTCAAAAGAGACTGTTATGTACATATATGTGTGTGTTTTTAAAAAGCTATGTGCTTTTTAGGGTGCATTTCTGTGCTTTTTAGGGTGCATTTAGGGTGCACTGTAGGGTGCATTTCTTTTTGAAGAGATACTTTGTGAGTCTGGTCATTCTTCCTTGATGTTAGAACCCTTCCTCTAAAACATTATGTTATTAACCATCCTCGGTTGCCTCTTGGATCAGTGTGGTTTGGTCAGAATTGCAGTTTGTAGTTGCATGTGACTGTTCTTATTTTCTGCTAAGTGCTAGCTGCCATGCTGGAACTTCTAGGGCCTGTGAGGGTTTTAGATCATGAATAACAGAAGCAATAATATATGCAAAGAAACACAGATTTTACCCTTCCTGCTGTGGGTTTTTTAAAAATACAACTTTTTTCTCTCTGCTTCTTAACAATTCTAGATTTCCCACAGACTCTTATCCATTTTACAATTGGTGACTCAACACTTTAGAAACAAAGAACTGTGGGATCCAACAGTTCAGAATAAAATATACTACTCTGGTATCCAATAATTCAGGATAAGAGATTCTAAAGGAGAACAAAAGTGAGGTGGTGGCTTTAAACTTATTTTCATGAGTAGTTTAATTTTACTGCCTGGTTTTCATTTTCAGATTCTTCTTGATGAACTTTCTTCCACTAAACATTGGGTCTCCATGCATGTTTCAGACCATAGTGGATTCCACTACCGCCAGTTTTTATTAAAGTCATTAATTTGTAGAACTGGGACTGACTGTAGCGTGCAATTGCACAACCAGCCAGCCAATCCGCAAGTACCCAGTGTTCCAAAAGAGGAAGAAAACACTGATGCAGAAGCTGCCTGTGTGGAAGAACAGCAGTCAGATCACCCGCTTCTTCTAAAGGAAGAAGTAGAGCTCTGTACAGATTTGATTAATACTTTCCCAGGCCATGAAACCCTTTGGTGTCACAGGTAAGGAAATGTATACATGAATATGGGGGTCAAAAGGGTCAGTAACCACTAATATGCAATGCATTTCTCCAACTTATACACCAAAATACTGATGGTTGGTGGTGATAGCAAAGAAAACACCAAGAACTGTACAATAGACCCTACAGATGGCTTGTGTCATGTAACTGCTTTATAATGAATTGGAATTATCATTTGTAACTATTTTGCTAGGTAAACTATTGAACTTCTACCTTCTGGCTAAAACGTTTCAGAAGTAGCTATAGATAAAAGCAATATAAAACCTTTCAGAAATGTCAACTACAAAATTATTTGTAACAACGTAAATTGTAAATAAATAATAATAACAGTAATAATAATAACAAATAAACTTTATTTATACCCCGACACCATCTCCCCCAACGGGGACTCAGGTCAGCTTACATAAGGACAAGCCCAAACAAAAAATTACAATAAAATAAAATGCAAATTACAATAAAATAAACAACATATACAATAAACAATATACACAAAACATTAAAAAAGCAGTAAACCAAACACAGTGACAGTGAGCGGGCCGAATGTACATAAAATGATTTTAACATTGATTGTTTCTGTGTTTTTAGCTGCCACAAGTCTCAGCTTTGAGGAAAATTAATGGTGTCAATAAACTTAATGATAGCAACAGTTTAATATTCTTAAGTGTTGCATTGCTTACATCAGTGCTATTGCAATGCTTAGCCACATTTATTGGCAGAAGTAGCAGAGAGCACAGGTGTTCAGCTCATACCTGGGCTGTTAACAATGGCCGAGTGTTTTCCAGCCCTACATTTGCTGAGGCTCATTCTAAAATGTCCTTTCAAAAGGGAGAATAGCGTTTCTGGTAGACTGGGCCCAAGTAATTAGAAGTTGTACATAGTTTAAAGGCAATACAATAATCAATTACATCCTTAAGGAGGACCCAGTGTTGCTGCTAGACTGTGCTTTGGAACATTATTTTTGAACTATAAACCCTTGAATTCCCTAGGCAGCGGCAGTGTTGGCTGAGGGATTCTGGGAGCTATGGTTCATAAAAATCATTCTTCCAATCCCTGCTGATGTGAAACCAGTTTGATGTCTGGTCACTCCATTCTGCATCATTTAAAGATTTAAAATAATCTTACTCTGTGGATAGCAGGTGTTGCATTGGATGTTCATATGCAAAATGATCACAGTGACAGGTACTATGTATAGTAGGCCCTCCACTTTTGTGATAAGGAGCACAGCATCTCCCTCAAAGTTCGTTATGTGTGAATGTTAAAAACTTCTATTGTTTCTAAAAGATAAACTATCTAGAACAGTGGTTCTCAACCTGGGGGTCCCCTGGTTCTTTGGCCTGCAACCCTCAGAAATTCCAGCTAATTTACCAGCCGTTAGGATTTCTGGGGACCCATGGATTGTGAATCTCTGGTATAGAAATCTCTAGGTCCTAGAATTGATTCTATGGCCAATTTATGCTGAAAATTGACCATGTAAATGCTGGAGGATATACAAATTCCTAGAGAAGTGTTCTCTCTTGGAATTTGTAGCTCCTCCCACATGGCTATTGGTCACTTTCTGGTGGATGTGGACTTTAAAGTTGTGCTAGAATACCATTTAATGAATTAAACCTTCTAATTTGGAAGACCAACTGTATTGTGTTTGATTTGCTGAGAAAGGCATCAACCTTGTTTTTTAAAAAATGCTTAAGAAGTTTTGTGATGTTTTCTATGCCTGTAAAAGGGGGGAGGGTCAGTAGTATTTATAATTAGTCATGTTGTAAGAAATACTAGAAGTTTTGTGTGTTTTCTCTCTCTGATTCCTTCTCTGTGAAGACGGCATGTATTCTGGCTCCATCACCACTTGAAGAACAAGTTTCCACTCCCAAGCCTCTGGTCAACATCAGCAGACAGTAGGGATGGGACACTGAATAACTTACATCCTGATGGTGCCCTTGGATGTCATGTGACTCAAGACATGGATGTTGATGGCTTGATTGAAGCCAACCGACAAGGCTACACTCAAGAAACTAAACGCCTGAAGCGTGCGCCTATGCAGGACTTTGTCAGTCYAGAAGCAGAATATAGGTTCATTGACCACATTTTAGCAACGTGTAGAGAGGTAGAGCAGGCAAGGTTTGCTAAYGCATACAGAAAATGGTTGGTTTCRTTTCTAGGTCAATGAAGGCAGAAATATAAAGGAAAAAAAAACTGCAGGGTCCCCTGTTTAGTGCAATATTCTCTTTTCTTGCACAGGTGCACATCTTTGGCCCCTGGCACTTTTCCTCCCTTCATTGTTTTTTTATCAGTTCTAAATTTCATTTGCCAGCAATGGCTTAGTTTAACTTAATTTGTAGATGCACCCTGGTGTTAAGCGTTTGAAAGTTTTAGAAAATTTAGTATCTTTAGGGGGTAGCTTGCTATCACACTGAATTCTAATACAAACTATTTCCCTCTTAAATTAAGATAAATAGAACCTTTCAAGTAGAGACAATGCAATGGTAATGCCAGTAAAATGAAGTTTTGGGTCTACTAGTAGAAAATGAATTCATTTCTTCATTTCTCTCACATTAGAAGTGCACCGAATCAAAGGCATTGGCCATTAAAGGCAATGGATAATCATCAAAAATATCTGCATAGGCAAGAGTCTGGCCAGATTGGTTTTAAGTACTTTTTTTTTTTAATGGTTACATTGCTTGTCTTGCACCATTGTAAATGACTAGGATGCCATCAGCTAATTGTTCAGTTCATGTTTTAAACCGCTGTAACAACAGTGCTAGGTTTATATTTTTATTTTAGTACCAGTTCTAATAGCCTTGAATTTTACTGTGACATTGTACAGCAGTCATGAGAAAAATCCCTCTTTATTGTCAATCTCCTTATCTCTCTCACACATATACCTATAGCTGCTCCTACATTTGCAGGTATATTTATTAAAGTTTTTCCATGCATGTCACATTTTTCTTTATTTTTTATTTATTTAAGCTATTATTCATGATGTATGTTTCACGGTATATTACAAACACTACAGAGTTATCCAGAGCCCCCAATCTGAGGTAAGGCTTAAAAACACTAGAAATATAGACAATGAAAAGAATTAAAGTTACTTCTGTACATGTTTGTAAATGTTTAAACAGCAGCAACTTTTTTTCCTCTGTAATGCTCTGCTCTGAAAAGTACTGTTCCCTTCATTCTCCTTGTAATAACTTTTTCCTATTATTTATACATCCATCAAAAGTACACTGAGATGGAGAGGCAATTAATTTTCTTGTTGTCAACCTGTTTTTTTCCTTATTGCTGTGTTAACAGTACAATGAGGTATGATTGATCTGTTCTGTTATTTCGTTAATGCCGACCTACATTTGAGATTCCAAAATTTTTGCTGTAGGTACCATGATAAAAGTATGAATACACCCTGCCACTATACACTACTCCAGTGGCAACACCTAAGGCTAAAGTGTATATGAACAAGGATCCACATTTAGTTTAGTCAAAGTAGTAGCTTTGTTAACTTCTGGTGGGAATCTGTGCATACTCAAGTCAGCAGGGAAGCTATTGCGTGGCTGAAGATTCAGTGCCTAAGGATCTGTCAAGCAGTATAGAGGAAAACTGCTAATTATACAGCCACAGAGACTTGCAGTTTGAAAAGCCATGTATCAAATTCTCCTTGCCTGAAAAATATAGCACACACTTTTTATAAAAGAAGTACTCACTTTGATGGGTTTCTCCCACAACTCATGAGCTGCACAGATTCTGATGCTGATTATATATTTCCAATCACAATTGTATCTCTTTTCTTTGCATGGCAATGAACGATGCATAGATCTAGGGAAGAAAGTCTTAATACCACAAATGTGGACAGTATGTGAAGACTGACTCCATGGCCTGGTGGTGTAGTGACAAATTAATGTACCAAAGGAAGAAGGGTCATGGTTCCTCTAATTGGCACAAAACTAGAGTTTGTTGGTAAGATAAGGAGACACAAAACATCCCTATCCACCAAGGTATATTCATTTAAAATTACCCCAGTCAAAGTGTCTGTTGGAATGTGTCTCTTGTAGTGTTCACTTCCCAAAAGGTGTGAAACTTCAGATGTTTGTTAATTTAATGCCTACTGTAATTTTACTAACAGTATGCATGTCACTCGCCAGTGCAGCTAGCTATGTCACAGTGCCATCTTAGAGACTTCTTCACTTAAAATACAATCTGCTCAGCATTGGGGTTGGTGCATCCACTACTCATGGCACAAAAATAATCTCATGATCTTTAAATGATATTATAATTGTTATACAATATAATAACACAATATAATAATTGTATATCATATGTTACATGTGATATTACTAATAAATGCAGTATAATGGCATAGTACAATGGAGTAATATATAATACTAATATTGTGCTATGCTAATAGTATAATATATTGTATGTTCATATAATATTGATCATAGTATTGTAATACAATATAATACTAATAATATAATATAATAATTATCTATGATACATTGTATGTAATGTTACTAATGATATTGCAATATAGTGCTGTAGTACAATATACAGTGTTCCCTGACTTATTGCAGGTGTTACGTTCCGGGACCACCTGTGAAAAGTGAAAATCCGCATTCAGAGGGTGAGGCAGAAGCGAGGAGAGATTTAAAGGCACTGCACGCCTCTTTTTTTTGCTAGCTATAAGGAAGGGGCTATAAGGATGTCATTTACATACTGCTTTGTATCTCCTCTCTCTCTCTCTCTCTCTCTCTCTCTTAATGTTTGGCTGCCTCTCTCCCGAGGGGGAAGATGAAAGCCCTTTCCACACTCCATCATTACCAGGAGGCAAAAACCCGTGAAACAGCGAGTCTCTGAAAAGCGAACCACAAAGAAGCGAGGGAACACTGTAGTAATATATAATTCTAATATTGTGGAATGCTAATGAGATAATATATTGTATGTACATAAAACTTGTAAGCTCTCTGAGTCCCCTTCAGGGTGAGAGAGGGTGGGGTATAAATTTAGTAAATACATAACAAATAAATAAGTAGAGAATGTGCGATGACAGCTAGTGGATGGGCAACAGTAGCTCAATTTTTGCCTAGTTTTTCCTGTTCTTTGACTTTATCCACATAGATATATGTGGAGGTGAAACGTGGATGCAATAAGCAAAGTGGGCAGGCAATTCCCTCTTTGCTTGAGCTGGATTGATTTTATGAAGGCTTTCAAAGAAAATAGTAAAACGTGACTTGAAATCCATGCTTCCTTTCTTTTTGATTTTTAAGCTGAAGTCACAGATAGGTTCCCTGGATCTATATATAAATACATATAACCCTGCTTATTAAATGTGACAGTCCTTCCATTACTGTACACATAAGGTTGAACTCTACCCTCAAATATGCATCTGTACCTCCCACTGATGAGAACAGGGATTGTGTATTCTGAAATGGAGACAGATCTCCAAGTCTTGGAATTAAATAGCAAAATAGCTCTGGATGTTTCACTTGCCTTTGTTATTTGTGAAATATAAGGAAGGGTCTTAAAGGCTTTAAAGGGATATAAACAAAATTGGGATGGCTGGCTTCTTACAATCTTTTTAAGATTCATGCAGATTAGTGATTAATGTTCCCAAGGAAACAAAAAAAAAACCCCAAAAGAAATGAAATCATCTCCTGTCTTCTGTTGCTGGAATCTTACAGTGTTTGTGGCCTTAAAAAGCTAAAGTACAATTCCAAAGCAAAATCAGAATTAGATTTACAAACAAGGTTTGTAGGAAAGAAAAGGTAACATCTATTTTAAAATCTAATGAACTATAAACCGACAATCGAATTACGTGTTTTTAAGATTCATCTCGATCGCCATATTTTAAAAGCTGTGCAATCTCTCCCAAGTAATCTTTTTTCTAATGTGAAAGTTTGTGGCATTGGAGAACTGCGAATTTATGAGTTGTGAACACTTAGCTTTAATTTTAGTGATTTCTTTGAAGTCCAGTAAGAAGGCTGGGTATATAAGAAGTCACATTTCTTGAGCTGTGCCTCTGGGCATTGCTGATTACCATACATTAAAAGTCACCTAGTGCAGCTCTGCGGTGGTAAGTAGCAGCGTACTGAGCCTTTAGGATGTCAGAGGTGAAGATATTCAAACTTAATAATTGAACCAGGCCATTATTGGAGAACAGCTGACTACTCATTCATCAGGAAGCACGTGCTCACAGTCCTTTGAATGAATACACATACTTTATTGAAACACAGATACCGTGTGTGTGTGCGTGTGTGTGGTGAAAATTCAGTGGGTGTTGGGTCTCCCCTTTTTGCACTCTACTATCTGTGAGCAAGTACACGCACGCACGCACATACTGGTGCCTGTACACTTGATAGTGTCTTATGGTGGTATCTTTTCAAGCAAATAAGAATTGCAGATGCATTTGGGTATTATATACCTTATGAGAAACCAATTTAAGAGAATTCAACGATGAAGTCAACTATGATTAAACAACCATTAAAATACTGCATAATGTTAGCTGCAGCAATCTGCACATAACTGACAACTGTTGAATCATTAATTGACTCTTCATCTCACACAGAGACAAAACTGGCTTTATGTACATGAAACCTCCTGCAACCCAATTACTTATTACATAACTGTAGAAGCCTTTTACTTGAGGTTTTAACACAACATTAAGGCTTTCCATGGCAGTGTTTGCACTGTGGTGGAGCCTATATTAAACCATGTTAATGGTTTTCTCTTTGTTTTGTTTCTAATTCTGTATTCTGTGTGGTTATGTTTTTCTGGGAGACAAACATGTTTGACTTTATGGAAAGAAATGTGTATTTAAGTGACTTTCCCACCACTTAGGTGAGCTTTCCTGGTAAGAGTTCTTACAACATAAGGAAAACTTTCTAAGATGTTGCTCTTTGAAATATCCCTTCCCTTCAACCACCATCCTCGCCAATGTTTGAGGATACTGTGAAGCTGATCCTCAGTACAGTACGACTCTGTATCCAAAGATCCCCTGTGGATACCTGAAACCTTGGATAATAGCGAGCCCTCTATTTTGACTAAACTTGGGCAGAAGGCATACTGCAGAATCATATCAGAGGACCTGGAGAGGCCCTCAAATATTTGAGGGTGGGTGTTCTTTGGAAAATGGGTAATTGAAACTCTGGGCATCAAATTCATGGATAAAGGGGTCGCACTGTATTCTCTGATAAGGGGTAGCAAGTGACAGGCAAGGTGAGTAGAGTAGATCATTCACCAAGGCTGCAGTCAGCTAAATCTGCTTTACTCTTTGGAGTTGTTCTCCCTTTGCTTTAAGTAAGCTTGAGGCAGTAGACTGAAAATCTTTTCACTTTGTTAGCAAAACAGCCTAGAGTAAGGTATGGTGATTTGGATTTTAGTTCAGTCCAAATAAAAGTAGTCAGCACCCGTAGAAGTCACTTATCTGTGTTACAGCAATTGGGAGAATGTTTATACTTTATTGTCAAATGAATTTTTAAAGATGTTTTCTTTTAATATGTAAGATCTAAATAATTGACATTTGAATAATCTACATATTTTTGGATTATTAGTTGTATTGTTGGCTTTTTGTAGCATTTATGTTTAAGAGGAAACCATAGTGGTATTGTGATTATTGGTTCACTATTATACCTCAGTTTTTTTTCTATTTTGAACTTTTTTTTACTCTTGCTCACACTCTCAGTAATTGTATCATATGATTAAAATATTAACTGTATAATATGGTCAACTCTTGCAGTCCACCCTTTTTTTTTTTTTGAAGTAATTCAGTTTATAACTGTTGTAAGTGAATAAAGTTGGCCACCAATATCAGGGAATAGCAACTAGTGTAGCCAAATCTAATAAGTACATTTTAAAGGTGGTTTCTGTGGCTCCCGGTGAGAATATTGTCATTTTCGGATTACAAAAACGTTCTTTTTACCCCACTTCCAAACTGTAATGCTTTTCGTAGAATACACAAGTGAACCTGAGTTTTAGCATTAGCTTCTGTAATACTGAAAATTAGCTGTCCTTTTATATTTGCTCTAGACATCTCAAGCTCAACCAACTGAAAGATTGATGTGACTTTTGAAAGCACCTTGGACATGTTCTTCTCCACTGACAACTATTCTGTGAAAAATTAAATACTTTTGATATTAAATGCAACATGTGGAGAATGGGGAGATCACTGTTTGAAGCATGTATTAAATTCAGCTATTGGTGTAATACAAATCCAGGGCACATTAATGGACATTTTCTCCCTGTGTCATTGTGCTTTATGTGTGGTGTCCTAAATAGTTTTCTCTCTGAGGAGTATAGTCCCCAAAACTGAGGTGGCTTCAGGCAAACCTGCTTGTATGAGCCTTAAACTAGGGTGTTTGGAGAGCAAGAAATGCATCAATTTAGACCATAAAATTTCTTAAATAGTTTTTGGTTCTTTGCCAAGTTTGATAGTTTTCCAGTTCTTAGACCTCATTCTACTATTTCCGCAAACCAAGCGCTGTACTATTGTCAGATGAAGGAGCTAGGCACATGCATTGTGCGTTCAATATATATCAAAGTCATGGGTGGAAATTCTGACTCTTCCCTGTGACTCCTAGTTTGTAGTGCTACTTTACTCAGGGCATAGATTCACTCTAGTGCATTAGATTTTTTTAAAAAAGGAAAACTACTATAGAGTCTATGGTATTTAAGTGCTTAATATGCTGAACGCATAACTGGTGTCTTTAGCCATCTAACCAATGTAACCAGCTAACAGCTTAAAAAAAACTTGCCTTTTCTGCTATTTTTGCATACCTACAAGTTGTTTTGTATCTTAAAATAATTGCAGGCTTCATATTGTAGGTTGTACTAACTAACCTCTTTGCAGGTAGGAGGGATTAGAAATTATGTCATATTTAACAGCATGAATTCATAAATTCTACTGCTGCTCTACTTGACAAATTTTAACACCTAAACTACAACAGCTTTCCAGGTACCAAAAATCATGTATAGGTTGATTTGGAACGGAAAAAGAGGCATTTATCTTCTAAATGAAACAATATTCTGCGATTCATGCAATCATTCCTGTTTGGGACATGTTTATTAATATGTCATGGTCCACCAAAATTAATAAATATACAGCAGCCTTATGTATGTTTGTTCTGAAGTAAGCGGCATTGAGTTGGGTGGGCTTACTCCCAAGCAAGGGCACATAGAATTATAGTTTACGCTCTGCTCATTTAAGGCATGTTATTATCTTGCTATCTGGTAATAAGTCTTTAACTGAGAAATTAGATTGTAGCCCAGAATAGTTAAGTATCTCCAAATGACAACTATAATTCGTAGATCGAATGCTAATATTGTGATGACATAAGAATTGCTTAAAATTGGATGTAACAAATACCAAAATGTTTCAAGATGCATGGCAACAGCACTTGGTGGATTGTAGGCATATACATATTTAACTATGGCCAAGTACCCTTGCATATATTTAGATGGATATGTTATTAGATATAACCAGGAACAAAATGCAGATTACATAAGTGATGTTGACAGTTATTTCTCCAAAGCATGTTCATACACGATATTCTAATTTTTGTTCTCATGTTTTCTTTGTGGGGGCAAGGGCACCTGTTTCTTGTCAAAGGGATAAATCCAGTGTTCTGCAGGTATTTCTTCCTCTACAATATTCTGTACAATTCTAAAAGTTGCTCTGGATAGTTTCCATCCAGTATGGGCAACACATAGGAAACTGGAGTACAGAGGGCCTTTTCCCAGACCAGTTAGAATTTGTCTTCCATTGTTTCCAACCAAATTATTCATTGCTTACAAATGCTATCCCCCTCCCCCAGTCATGCAGTTGTTTCAGTGTTGGACTAGGACTCTGGAGACTGGTGTTCAAACACTACTTGGCCGCAGAAACCCATTGGGTTATATTGGGCAGGGTACATTCTCTTAGCCTTATAGGACGAATAAGACAAACCTCCTGTGGGCAAATCTTTCCAAGAAAACTCTGTCATAGTTGGCTTTAGGGCCAACATAGGTCAGAAATGACTTGGAAGGTACTCTACAGCACATGAGGATATAATATGGGCAATTAGTTTTTATGGTTAGGACCAATTCACATGATAGTACTGCTCATACTTGACTACTTTTTTCTTGCTCATCATTACACTGAAATAGTGATTGGGTAGTTGGGATAGTTGAGTAAGAATAGAATCTGCCATTTTTGCAAAATAGTCATCATTTGTAATAGGATGCACAATTGCAGCTTCTGTTACTGACAGTCAGATCTTATTGTGCATAGTGCAATTGGGGAAATGAAAGAAGCACTTGATTATATGCCATTCTCAACCTCTCTTCACCTCTCTCTCTCTCTTTTCCTCTCTGTTGTATTTTTTCCCCTATAGAATGTCTTTTTGGAATAGTTGTTGAAGAGCTATCAGGTTATTTTCTTTTTCAAACAATTGCACAATTCACTACTTTAAAAAGGACCAGGGATTTTGAGTCCTTTAAAATATATGTACAGGCAGTCCCCGAGTTACAACTTATAGTTAAGACTGGAGGTGAGACAACAGGAAGTGACAGAGTGAGAGAAATCTGCCCCTCGGAAGGGAAATGCACTCCTGGAAGAGTTATCATGGGGAAAAGGTTTAAACTTTCTTACCAATCCTGGTTTCAACAAAATGCCAAAATTTTCAAAATCCAATTGGGACAGAAAGTGAAGTGAAATCTTGTGAACAGGGACACAGACATCAAAACAAACGCCACAGGTGTGTTAGCCCTTCCCTATGCTATCCAAAGATAGACAGACAGACAGATAGATAGATATGGCTGGAGTTATACTTAAAAATGTAGCTGTTCTGACTTACAAACAAATTCAACTTAAGAACAAACCTACAGAACGTATCTTCTTCATAACTTGGTGTCTGCCTATATACCAATTACATTCAGTTCCACAGTCCTGCCCCCATTGGAACTGGTGAATGCTTGCAGAAACAATGTGTGAATATGGGAAACTCCTTCATAGGTGGATCTGTTACTGATGTAAAAATACCATAGGGTTACCACTGATCTCAATACTAAATGGAGTGATATGTAGGGGCTAGAGTGGATAGTGCTATATTTACCCAAATGCTGTTTTTATGCTACTGTATTGCTGAACACAAATGGTTCACATGGATACATAGCTAAATAATAGACAGTCTGCTTTTCTACAGATGTTGAATTGCTTTTATTTCACCATATTCAAAATCCAAGGTGCAGAACTGGGTGCAATAAAATGCATACTTCCACACCAACTCCCTCACTTGTGTATATTGCTGCTATGATTTAAATTTAATGTAGCTACATAAAGTCCTTCTGTAAGTGTACTGTAAAACTAAGTAGGAATACATATTCTCTTCCATTTGTTCTCAGTTAATCCTACTCCTTTGGTATCGGTAGAACAATCATTCTGATGCTGAGCCTTGTGATTTTCTTAAATGCTCTTCTGTATGTGTCTGCAGAGGAGTGGAAACTTTGTCCTGCTTAAAATGTTGACATAGGGTTTTTTGCCATCAGCAAAATGGACAATAACAGTATCTGAGTCTTGCCCACAAAATTGTACTTTGGTTCTTTCTCAACTATTTTGTACTCATAATAAATTATATCTTACCTAATGCTAGTAATATACAATTGCATTACAGACTGGTTCTGCAGTTCTCTCCACCCCTATGCAGATGTCCTCCAGACTTAAAAGAGTAAAATTGCAGTTGTAACAGTAGCCGCAAACAACAAAATGAATTTTCCACTTATTTATCAGTACATCTGGGGTTTTGTGTGTTTCTGTTTATATATAATGTTCTAATGACAGAATATACTAAGCACAGTGATAAGTTATTGTTATTTATGTCTAAAATGAAAAATAGTGTACTTTTTTGGCTAAATGTTGGCAGTTTTTAAATAAAAAATTCTTCTCCTAAAATGATAATCTTCCATGTGATTATATCTTGAATTTCAGTTTGTTTTCCTCTTTGTAACATTGTGGAACTGTACTAAACTCTGGAAGTTTTCATTAAAGACTGGAGCTTGCACACATCTGGCTTACTATATTCAGGAGACTGAGGACTGATTTGATAGTGTAACTCAGAAAACCGACAGTACTAGGTGATAATACCATCATTGTTTGCATACCAGAATATGGCATTGCATTTAATATCTGTCGCTAGTCCCCTGAATGACAGCTGCCACGTGGGGGACTGTTGAAGCTATAATACCAGGAGGCTTCAGTGTTGAAGGCTTCATATGCTTATGATTGACAGCTGTCCTATGAGGCAGGGGCTTCTGGACTTTTCACATCACTGCTGGAAATAATTATTGCTCTTGGATCTGGTCCTTTTCCATATCAGATGTCACTCAGAAGCCTGACGTGATATTGTAGCACAGCCAAAGTAATTGCTAAGAAATCAAAAGGAAGGACTCGATAGCGAGCCATTTTTAGATCCCCCCCCCCCCAGAGACTAATAAAAATACAATATTGGAAGAAATAGCAGTACCTCTTAACTTTGTAAAACTTCATATTGTGAATGCAATATATAAGAACACAGATGTGATATATTAGAATAGCGACATTAATGTGTAATACTGCTCTTTAATAAAGGCAGAAGAAATCCTAGCTAGTTTTGTGAACAATCTGAACTGGTACTGTAGGGATAGATTGGTTACAATAAATGCTTTTTCACATACTTTCAGTATGGCAGGGGCAATATTTCATATTTCAGGAGTGTTAAAGTTGTCCCCTCATGTAACACCAGTCATCTTTCTCATGTTTGTGTACATTACTAGGCTTGTGCACAGATTCGTTTTGGATGTTTGCCTTTGGCTTGTTCAGATGCTCGTAATGGCAAGGGCTCTACCATCATGTTTTTTTCAACCAAAATGGACCACAGGGCACCTAATTGCAGCTACCTTCTGTTCTATTCGGGATCACGCGGCATGCGGAGAGGCTGCCGCATGCTCACACAGGGTTTCCCTGTGAGCCCTGCCTGTTGGGCCAATTCAGAATAGAAGAAAGCTGTGACAAGTCTTACGCAAGCTGTGTCTATTTAATGGCATGAGCTCCTCCATTGCTCAGTTGTATCCTGGCTCTAGAGCAGGGGTCCTCAAACTAAGGCCCGCGGGCCAGATATGGCCCTCCAAGGTCATTTACCTGGCTCTCGCTCAGGGCCAAGCTAAGTCTGTAACGACTTGAAAGCACACAACAACAACAACAATCCTATCCCCTCAGCCAAAAGTAGACCCACACTTCCCACAGAAATACTAATAAGTTTATATTTGTTTAAATTGTTCTTCATTTTAATTTTTGTATTGCTTTAAAGTGTTTTTTGCATTACAAATAAGATATGTCATGCACAGGAATTCATGCATTTTTTAAAAAATTATAATTGGCCTTCCAACAGTTTGAGGGACTGTGACCTGGCCCTCTGCTTAAAAAGTTTGAGGGCCCCTGCTCTAGAGAGTGGTGCTTCATTGCAGCCAGTCAGATTGCCTTGCCGCTCACTTGTAGCTTTAGCTTTTGGCATGGCTCATTGAATCTAATTTTATTTTTTATTTTCCTGGATTATTTCCTTGATTTTTTATTTAGAGACTGGGAGTTGGAAAGTACAGGTGGGTGGGTGGGTGTGCGGTGTTTGGGGACTTGTGGGTGGGTGTCCTTTTCTTTTAGGGTGGCTTACTTTCTAAGTGATCCCTCGTAGTCCGAGGATGATGGTCCTCCAAGTGTATTATCCTGCCAGTGGGTCCGTAGGTGACTGGAACCCCATTCTTGATCTGCATGTTCTCCCACAGTGAGGGCATCAGTTTCCAGGTGGAAGGCGGTCCCGGTCAGGATTGGCTTGATGCGCCTTTCTCTTGGCACGCTTCTCTCTTTCAACCTCCATTCGTGCCTCTTCAAATTCTGCAGCACTGCTGGTCACAGCTGGCCTCCAACTGGAACGCTCAAGGGTCAGGGCTTCCCAGTTCTCAGTGTCTATGCCAGAGTTTTTAAGGTTGGCTTTGAGCCCATCTTTAAATCTCTTTTCCTGTCCTCCAACATTCCTTTTCCCATTCTTGAGTTCGGAATAGAGCAACTGCTTTGGGAGACGGTGGTCGGGCATCCGGACAACATGGCCAGTCCAGCGGAGTTGATGGCGGAGGAACATCCCTTCAATGCTGGTGGTCTTTGTTTCTTCCAGCATGTTGACATTTGTCCACTTGTCTTCCCAAGAGATTTGCAGGATTTTTCGGAGGCAGCGCTGATGGAATCGTTCCAGGAGTTGCATGTGATGTCTTGTAGACAGTCCACGTTTCGCAGGCGTATAGCAGGGTTGGAAGGACAATAGCTTTATGAACAAGCTTATGAACTTTGGTGTCCCTACGGATGTCCCAGTCCTCAAACACTCTCTGCTTCATTCATTTCATTTCAGAAAGTACTTTTAAAAGGTTATCCCTGTTGTTGCTCTCTGCCTTCTTAATTTCATGTAAAAATAATAATTCTGTGATAATAGTACTATTGGGCATCTCTGGAAGCTTTGCCAAGCCAACAGAACCCATTCTCTCTCTCTAACACCAACCTCCATCATGACATACAAGATTATTATTATCTTTATTTGTACTATTCATAAGAATTGTACCAGCAAAACATCACCAACCTAAGTTCTACCAGCCTTCCTCTACCAATCCTATGCTTTCAATCTCTCTGCCTGAAAGCAATCAACACTCCAAGAAAAACATCAGTGGTCTAAATACTATACAATTCATGCTTGCAGGTGTGCATACAGAAGATTGAGAAGCCCTTCTATAGGGAATACTGTAATAAATTAATCAGTATTTCCAACTGAAACTGCAGAATGTATTTTGAGGTCCCCAGTGGGTTAACTCTACAGTGGTGTATAGGAATTGAAGGCTGTAAAAAGCCCTGCATGACTCCTGGGTTGCACTGTGAATGCCACTTCTGAAAGAGCAATGCCTGAACAAATTAAGCCATCGCAGACCAAGTTCCAAATGACACGTCAGAATCCTTTCAGGTGTGCAGTGATCTTTGTGAGATGGCACAGAGTTTAGAAATGCCTTTAGCAAGGATAAATTGCAGAACATGTATTTGTAAAGCCTTGGTATGCATTTTCTTCAAAACAAAAAAAAACCATGGCATTTTAAATCTCATTTATTTTTGCATAGCTTAATACAACTTGTTTCAGAAGACATAGAACATGCAATTTAAAACACTATTAAAATGCATCTCGATACAGCTGAACAGTGACTAAATAGATCAAGAACCAGTTTCTTACTCTGCCTTGATTTATTCATTTTAAGAAGTTAGTTGTTGGAATAAAAAATATTTTTCCTGTGTGAGCAACACTTATTATTATTCAGCTTTTTCTGAAATAACTGGAAACTCTTGACAGGTCTCGAGAACAGATTTCTTGGTTCCAGCTCGCTTCCTTAGGGTTCCTATTCATGCTGTCCTTTCAATTTAGCAGTGTTGGACCTGAATGATTATAAAAATTAAAATACCCAAGCCAGACTCATTGATCTGAAGTCATCCTGCAGCTTTCATTAGTTGTTCTAATGGAAGCTGTGGCAAAAGAAGGTCATCTAATGCAGAGCTTTCCAAACTCTGTCGCGAAGCGTTAGTGTGTCGGCTGCAGTAAGTAGGTATGTCACACGAATGTAATGAGAAACCTCTTGAGTCTATGTTAAATAAGCCATAAATCATATAATTAAAAAATATAAATGAAAGGGATTCATGAGAAAAGTTGTGTCCCCATAAATTTCATTATTACAATTTATGTATCTGTCCGTATTTCTTATAAGGGATTGATTTACCCTCTGGTTTGCTAGTATAACTCACTTAGGCAATCTTTCGTTGTCTGAGTATCATGACCTTCCAAGTGTAGTGTCTTGGTGGTGGATATGTAGGTGACTGTGGAGCCCTATTCTTGACTCACATGTTCTTCCACAATGAGGGTATTGGTTTCCAGATGGAAGGCGATCCCGGTCTGGGTAGGCTTGGTATGCCTTCTCTTAGCACGTTTCTCTCTTTTGCCCTCCATTTGTGCCTCTTTGAATTCCACAGCACTGCTGGTCACAGCTGACCTCCAGTTAGGGTGCTCAAGGGCCACGGCTTCCCAGTTCTTGGTATCTATGCCACAGTTTTTAAGGTTAGCTTTAAGCCCATCTTTAAATCTCTTTTCCTGTCCACCAACATTACATTTTCTGTTCTTGAGTTGGGAGTTGAGTAACCGCTTTGGGAGACGGTGATCTTTGGGCATTCGGACAATGTGGCTAGTTCAGCAGACTTGATGGCAAAGGATCATCGCTTCAACATGGTGGTCTTTGTTTCTTCCAGCATGTCCGCCTGTCTTCCCAAGAGATTTGTAGGATGTTTCAGAGGCAACGCCGATGGAATCGTTCCAGGAGTAGAGTGTGACAGCTATAGACAATTCACGTTTTGCAGGTGTATAGCAAGGTTGGGAGGATGGTAGCTTTATAAACAAGCACCTTGGTCTCCCTATGGATGCCCCAATCCTCAAACACTACTTCATTTGGAAAAATGCTGCACTTGCAGAGTTCAGGCAATGTTATATTTCGGTGTTAATGTTGACTTTTGTGGAGAGGTGGCTGCCAAGGTAGCAGAAATGGTCAACGTTTTCTAATGTTACACCATTAATCTATATTTCTAGCATTGCAGAGGGGTTGGCTGGTGCCTGCTGGAAGAGTACTTTGGTTTTCTCGATGTTCAATGAGAGGATGAGCTTCTTGTATGCTTCTGCAAAGGTGTTTAGATTGGCTTGTAGGTCTTATTCTAAATGAATGTATAAAAAGGGTCTGTTACCAGCATGAAATATTTGGAAACCTCTTATCTAATGGCTGGAAGACAATGCCAGACACTGTTGAACTCCTATTCTCTTACAGATGCTTTGTATTGTAGGCAGGTAGTGCAATATA